CTGGTCGTGTCATTTGAAATGCTCAACAAAGTAATATTTTTGCGAAAGAACAACATTTCACTAATTCTGGTATGAATTTCTTTGAATTTTATATAGATCTAAAACAAACTCTTGCTAACATTTTCCTTAAAAAAGAAAAGAAAAGTGAATTTCACTATTTATTTGATTTATTTTTAATTTATTTTTGTTTGACTATTTTCTTGGACTTGGAAAGTACAGTCTATTCCCAGGAACAAAAAGTAGCAACAACAAAAAAAAAAATATATATATATCATGCAAAAATTGGCAAAAAAGTTTTCATCTGCATCATTTTCCACTAAATGATGCCTTTCTTAAACTGCAGTAGTTGGCCGCACAAAATTACTCAAAGGGCTGCATGTTGGACCTCACTTTGAACGCCTCTGATCAAGGTTCAAGAAGGCTTTGTCATTTGCATCACGTGGTACATGAGGTGGAACGAAATTGGGTACTCAAGGTCCAATTACGCCCCAAAATAGCAAAAATACAAAGTATAAAAAAGAAACTAGACAAGGATCTAAGTTGTACACTAAACAATAATGTAATCTAATGCGGTGCATTAAACAGCAGCCTGAACATGAGTCTGTTGTGAGCAGATGGGTATGAATACAGCAGCTTTATGGCAATAAATCAGCAGCATGGATAAAGTGACAAATCTCTGATCTAAGATATCTAAGATTGCATGGGATGTTCAGATATGTATTATACACTACAAAGGTAATTTTGAAGTAATTTTCACTAAACTGTCAGAGAGGAGGATGCTCTTTTACTGATATTAACAGTTTTCTTGTTTCTCTCCGCGTGGAGAACAGGTGGGATGGAAACGAGCTGCAGACCGACCCCTCGTCAGCGGGCTGATGAACAACCTGTCAGCAGCAGGTAGGTCAGGTATGTAAACGGTACCACGCAGGCCCAGTGGGTCAGAACCAGCAACATGGTTTAAGAAGTGACAAGCTCAGATTTCTGCACCCTGGAGAGAATAACTCAACTTTATTTTGGTAAATTAAAACATTATAAAAAAGGAAAATAATATAAAAAGGTAAATCAATAATTTACCAAAAAAGGAATGGGCTGAAGCCAAGGTTTATACTTGTCTGCCCTATTCATAGACTCAGCAGTAATGACTATCTACTGTCCATTTACATATGTAAGTACACATACAGACATTTACTGTATATTTAAATATGCATACATACATTACATACATGGTTACACAATACATATATACATTACATAACAGTAAAAGCTTTTATAATTTTACATTTTAAGGCTCTTGCTCACCAAAAAAGCACATAATTTGAGATCATCATTCAATTCATTCCAGTTTCACGCCAATAACTGAAATGCATCTAGATTTTACTTTACTTTTCTCTTTCGCTTGTTCAAATATTAACAAACCTTGTATATCATAGTTACTCTCTCGACTTAAATAATTTCTGAATTCCAGAAGGAAGATTTTATTCAGTGCTTTATACAATATTTCCAGTATTTTTATACAAACAATGTCATTAAATTTTAAAGTATTACTTTGAGTAAAAAGTTATTAGTTGGTTCACAATATCCCACTTTATTAATAAGCCTAGTTTACCTAGTTGGCAACTTTATTAATATGTCAGTAGTTGTTTTATTTGCATTTCCCCATATTTCTGAGTAATATGACAAAGTAGGGCATAACCAAGGAAGATAATATAATATGCAAGCCTTTTACATTTATTAAATATTTTATTTTAAACAATATTCCAATAGTTTTTGCAATTTTATTTCTATTATATTCAATATGAGGCTTCCAACTAAGTTTGTTGTCCAGATTGATACGTACATTTTTCGTCCCATAAACTCGGTCAATTTCAACTTAATTTATATATAACTACTTTATTTTAAATCCCTTTACCAGAAAATACCTATAATAAGCAGCTTCAGGAGATTTTTCTACCAAAAGCTATAAAACTTTAACAGTTTAACAACTCACTATCATTCCT